GTGTATTTTTTTTGTCATTAACCTTTTTCGGACCACTTATTTATTTATTTTGGTGACGATCCGACCTCCATGCTGCTACTCTGTTTCAAACTGCATCCACCAAACAATATGATTTATCTCGACCTCCCCAAAATAACCAAAATCTGACACGGTGTGAGATGTCTTTTTTAGCTGTTCTGTTGTCATTTCCTGCGATCTTCTTCATAAAGTCAGTCAAAATGAATGAATGAATGGGCGTTTCTTTGACTATTTATAGACAAATACGTGAAATTACGTGAAGCCTGCAAAAGCTGCACCGCATTTCGAGTCGATTGTGATTTATAAAGGGAAACCGGCGTAGGGAGTGGCGTACGCACTTTCCTCGCCGGTACGTAATGTTCCATCCATCCATCCATCTTCTCCTGCTTATCCGTGGTCGGGTCGCGGAGGTAGCAGTTCCAGCAGAGAGCCCCAAACTTTCTTTTCCCTGGCCACATCAACCAGCTCTGACTGGGGGATCCCAAGGCGCTCCCAGGCCAGCGAAGAGATATAATCCCTCCATCTGGTTCTAGGTCTACCCCTTGGTCTCTTCCCAGCTGGACGTGACTGGAACACCTCCCTAGGGAGGCGCCCAGGTGGCATGCTAACTAGGTGCCCGAACCACCTCAACTGGCTCCTTTCGACGACACGTAATGTTCGGTGAATCGGAAAATTGCGGAACATTTATGTACCTATTTTTCGGATTTCTACTACGTAAGCAACCTTCCCACGTCAATCCTACGCACGGCGTTATACATGAGGCCCATGATCTCCTCAGCAGAGGCCTTCCTTTTGTTGGTCCTGGACTCGGCAAAGTGAAAGAAAACACAGGCATATCGCTTTTGTCTTCCTCTTAAAGTGTCGCACAAGGGTGACAGAGTTCAAGCTTTTAAATTTTTAAATAGAAAGTGATTTATTTTCATTGTATAGTGGTGTTTGCGCTAAAAAATGAATTTACCTTATCTCTGACACACACTTAGAGGCTTTTCTTCTCACAAGGGCAATAGAGATACTGAGTCTGTAATCACATGAGCATGCTTCCCAGACTGCTCTCTGCCACAGTTCTGCTCTCTTCTTCTTCGAACGCGTGTTCCCATATGGTGAGGGATGATTTTAATAATGATGCTTGTCAAGAAGATGATGATTGACACCTGCTTCCCCCACCCACAGATTGCCAGAAGACAGCGAGCAGTGTGAAAGCCTTATTCCTCTACACAGCGTCTCCCCCAGTGAAGGAAGCTTCTGCTCGTGATCCAGCAGCCAACACAAGTAAAGGATCATTCCGATGTTCAGATGCATAAATCAGTTCAAAAGAAATCTTACCCTTGGAAAAACATGAACAATTCCAAACTTCCCAAAAAACAATTTAAAACAATGTTGTTATTACTGTTATTCCTGGTTTGATTTTTGTGTCAAGTTATGATGAACAAAAAAATATTTTTTTAAATCAAGAGCAATAATTCGATACAGTATAGTAAAACAAGCCTTTGCTTAAAAACTGTGGCAATATTTTTAGTAACTGCATCCTCTGTATTTTTGAAAATCACAAGGCTGAATGAATGCATGTTTATGTAAACCAGGGATGAACTGACAAAAATGACAGATGATGTTCCTAATCACAAATCCAGAGTTCTTATCAACTCTGCTTTTACCCTGAGCTTTACAAAGGCTTTTAGATATTTAGGTATTGGCCAACGTGGAAGTTAGCATTGCCAGGACTGCCTCGACAAAAAGCAATGTGATTTTTCCATGGAATTTAGAATACAGCAAAAAATAAGATCTGTGTCCAACACACTTTTATGATAGTTAAATGTTTAATTCAGCAGGATTATCTCCACTTATTAACACCACTTTTTGATTTTTAAAGCGTAAATGCAATCTCCAGAAGTAAAAAGCTATTGTTGGGCTATAAAGGAACTACAACACGGTCACATGACTTCACATTAACACCGCGAAGCTAATTGCGGCTAATTTTTAGCGTGATTTAGAAGTGTTATTTAGACACTTGTTAGCAACCGCTGTTATATTGACACATGGAGGCTCCAGACATTCACCAGTGCGGTATTTACTGACGGAGAACAAAACATATAAAGTGTAGCAGCTGCATCCCCACGGTTAGACGAGAGGAAGCATCCCCACATCCTTCCTTTCCTTGGCCTTCAGGGCGTGCTACACCCTTTGTTCTCTTTGGGAGACGGCCAAGACTGTCAACCGGAGGGTAAGAATGTCCTTGGGGCATGCTCTGCCGGACCCCCCCGAAAGGGACTGTGGTCCATCACCTACAGTCTCTCAAAATCCTGTTGAAAACACTGTAGGAAAACACTGTAGTAGTGCAATTGACCCTGAGCTGTATTAGAAAGAACAGCTTTGTTGGATGGGATGGTGAGTTGCAAGAGTACCTGGTGTGGCTAAAATGGAAAATATCCTGCCTTACCTTACTTTGCCTGTCACTAGTCCAGCCCCCCCTGTCGGAACTATAACTATGCTGTGAACTACCTGTCTGCAGAAAATGTCAGAAACACAACTCCAAATAAGGGCTTATGTTGCTTCATGTCTGCTTAATCTGTTAATAGGCAAGAGTTTGTCAGCACATTACTACAGAAACGTCTTAAGGTGATAACATGTCAATGCTTTGCTCTCAAATGCACCCAAACGGCCAAACACATTTTAAGGCAACATTTGATTAGGTTTGCATCCCAACACTAGGATTTCTGCATCAGTCGATGTCTCCTCCCTGCTTCTCTCAGTTGTTTTTCTTTGAACATCTGTCTGCGCCCGGAGTGTTTGGACATTGTGCTGAGTAAGAGGGACAGGAGACAAGCAGGGCAGGATGACCCTCACGTAAATATTTAGCATCTGAGATTGGCCGCCCACTTTGCAAAGTCTGGGTCTGTTCACGACTCGCAGGTTTAGTCAAGCTTATCTCAGCGGCCTCCAAAGCCACACAGTCATTTCCAGCAACGCAGACAGATTCTGCACTCAGCATGAGGTTCTGAAAGAGCCGTCAGTGGAGAATGAAGGAAGTGCAATTTAGGACGAACTTAAGCCTGTCTGGGTGTGAGGTTGCGAATGGAGGAGGCAGCAATAGTATGTGTGTGCACGTCTGTGTGTCCGCTTGCACAAAAGTGAGCTTGAAACTCGGGATTATTAATTGATTAACCTTTTGATTATTATTTCCAGGTAAAGGAGGTAGTGAAGTGCACATTACATGCTCAGTACCTGACCATATTGCAGTTTTAATGATGGGAAAATAAGAAAAACATCAAATCCCCACAACAGAGAAGCAGGGACTGCCCAATGTTTGGCAGATGATTAACATTTAGAATGGACCTTGGTAATACTGAGGTCTTCAGAGTGTAAAGGATGTGGCTTTTTCATATTTCATATTTGGGGAATTTCATTTCCACAGTGCAAACGTTTAAATGTTGTCTCAAAGTCTTCTCTACACTGCCAGGAATTTCTGAAATCTTTATTTTGTTCAATTTAAGTCAAATATGAAATATTGCATCTTTAAACCAATAGAGTCAGCTGACTAAGGCCCAATCCCAAACCACACCCTACACCTACACACTCCCCCTCCGTGACGGAGTGAACTCCGTGGAGTGACACATGAGGCTCCCTCCTGTCAGATGGAGGGAGTAAATACAGCGGCAAGCTTTGGGACAAACTCCCCTCTCTCCGGCAGAAAAAGGAAATGCCGTAACTGTATGTAACAATGGTTTCAAATCAACATCTCTTTGAGAAAACATGAATAACTAAATTAAAACTCCAAACATATTTCATTGTTACTTTTTTGTAAAACTCTTTTAGTTTTAAACCTGATGTTTATAAGCTTCTTAGTTTTTGCAACAGTCAAATAAATATACACAACTTTATAATAAAATGCACACATTTACCTTTTTTCTAGACTAAACACAGGTATGATCCTAAGTTAAAACATATGAGGTTATCATGAGGTTGTTAACATCGCAGTTTATCTGTGGATGTTTGCTGGAACTACTTGTTAACAGCGTGTTTCCTGACGGACACACACAGCGTCGAGACCGGTCAGGTAGAGACCGGTCTCAAGTCAGCACCGATGCAGACTCGCGGGGCTTGATAGCCCACTCCCCCTCCAGACCGCTAATGATAGGACTACCTGCTTATCAAAAGACACCTAAATAATAAGCGTTGCTATGCAACCGGGTGAGGCCGCAAAGTATAGCGCAGCATTATGCATTTGTTTACATGCCCACCGGAACCCCGAGGCATTACCAACAGATCAACGCACAATCAACCCATACAGGACATCTCTTTCTCCACATTAAGTGTTAGCCATTATAATTGACTATTCTTGTCTGTCACATACTCTTTTGACTGTCACAAATTAATTGACAATTTTTTAAAGCACCACATATAATTGTGCACCCCTATATGTCTGTAGATTAATATTTATAAATTATTTATACTTATATATTACACTAGCCTGAATTGTTTTCTCAGTTTTCTCATACTTGCTTTCTTATTTGTCTCCAAAGGTGGTGAATGTGGATCTCTGAGCTGACAATCTGGATCTTTTCAGAGACATTGAACTACCCCAGTGCCTCCTTTAAATCTATTTTCTACAGTGTTGAGACGTCACAAACATTTCTACAAGCTCTTTTTGTATTTCCATGTTCCAGTCATCACAGACATGAGACTTTTCCTTTAAAAGATTTTCACGTTATTCCTTTGTAAAAAGAAACCTAATGGTTCTCAAGGTGCTGGACATTAACAGTGATTACCATATTGTTATGTGACCAAATGAAACGGTACATTTTAAACTTGATCATAACACTAACAGAGATACAGTAACTTTGTGTGTTTTAAAAATGTGTGAGTTCCGAGTTCACACAACATTTTTCAGGAGCTGTTCTGTTCTGGATGTTGTCTGTCTGTTGAAGCCTTGCTCCTTCTTTGTTAAATATTTGTGTGAAGCAGACACATTTTCACAAATGACAATCTGTAAGACGTTGATTCGGTTGACTTTTTGACGGAGAAAGCTTGCTTTTTTATATACCAGCAGTGTAATCAACTTCATATGGTAGTCATAAAAACAGCACAGTGATGACGTCATCTTACTCAGCCTCGGCAGCTCGGGTGAAGACCAAACCTTTCAGAGTAACCTGCATTACTTTAGAGCTCCAGTTACACAATCCTGATAGAATTCAAAAGTTTAAAGGGAAAGTTGGTATTGTTTAAGGTGGGGCTGTATAAGGCTCTATCCATAGTCAGTGTATCACCTTCAGGAGATGGAGGAGAAGCTGTGCATACTGATAGCACTGTCATTTTTTGTCAAATGCAGTGCATTGCTACACTGCTCGTACTCCTGTCTGATCTCCACACTGCGTCTACTGTAGGACATGCACTGCCTATGGAGAGCCAGCTCATACAACCCCACTTCTAACTATCCCTTTCAAATCTGTCAGTGCAATCCTGCGTTATTTAACATTTGAGTCTCTCTTTCACTGAGACAAACTGAGTCTGATATGAAGAATAATTCAAACCCACTACAGCTGAATAAAGAAGCAACACCAGCTTCACCAGCACTTTGTTTCAGTGATGAATCATGAAGACAAACTGTGATTGAGACATAATCCTTGTCTTTGAATATGAAGTCATGACAAGTCTTTAGCTATAAGCTACAAAGGCCTTGCTGCAATAACGTGTGTCTATTGTATGAACAGATTCCTTTTCATAATGGCTGTAAATACTGTACACAGTAGTATCAGTTTTGTTGCATTTCAGATAACCACTACAGATTCCTATCTGAGATTGTGTATCATTTGTATATTGTATGTGTCATTGTTAATGAATTGTACCAGAGGAAATGTTTGCAGCCAAATTGTTGTACTGAGATTGTATCACATGGAGTGGAAGGTTGTATATGATCCTTTTCTTTCTTCAGCAAAAAAAGATGTATTTACTGCCTGTGATTTCATGTGATGAGAAACAAATGTTTCTTTAAGCAGCCTCAGTGTGTGTCATAGAATCCAGGATGTTAACACTAAACAGTTGAAGGTAAAGTGTCCATGTTATTCCACATCCTGATAGAGGTCAGATATTTTTCTTTTAATGGAGTGTTTATTGCACTCAGCGTTGACTGCACGTATGAAGTGGCGGAAGTAATAAGCGGTCTTTGGGGAGGAACTAACGGGACCACATTTCTCTTGTTCATTATTGAATCTGCTATGTTTTTGCCAATCAGTCAAGTACAAAAGCTTTTTAGGATGATTAGTTTGCTCAGATGTCTGCCTTGACATTCTTTTTTTATTTTCATCTTTTGTCAACGGTGCTTGTGGAATCATAGATATGATTAGATTTCTTTCTCCTGTTCTTCGTCTTTTTTTTCTGAGAAATGTCTTTTTCCTTAAAGTTCAAATGAATGTTATAAAATGTAAAAGAAGGCTGTAATAGTAGCTTCCCTTGTATCAACCTCAACTCTTGAAGTCTGTTTTCATACTTGCACTGCACTATTAAACAAGTCTTTTTAAATCTCTGTTAAATGGCTTATTTCTGTTGGACCTCTACAGTAAGAGACAGTTCATGTTGGTAAGGTGTTTCTGTAAGGTGACCATGCAATCATGAACAGGTCAGTGGCGCGGTACATTGCAGTCGCGGCATTAGATGGTGAACATTGCTAACACTGTATGTGAATGTTTTAGGGTAAACATTATACCTTACCATTTTCCCTTGTGAGCCTTGAAATAAGGTTTCAAAGGGAGGTCAAATCAAAAACTTTTATACAAAAAAAATGACAGTGGTCAATGAAAAACTGAAAGAATTTTACAATATGGCATCTCAAAATTGGTTTTAATTCATCTAAAAACTTAATAAATCACATTGTTATTTTTCTGCTAAAAAAGAAAATGTATTCAATATGAAAAATGTGCGGAAAGCTGTATCCAATGACAGAGAAGCAGAGCCCTGTTCACACACATTCACCTCTTCAGGGCAACTCATCACATACTCGTCACAAAAGCATGCAATGTTCTCCTTCAATATGCTCTTTGAAAACATTTCTAAAGAGAGCTTCTTTATTTCCTTCAGTGGATAGTGGAGCAGTATGGTTATTCATTCAGCTAATAGAAGCCAAAAAAAAGTCTTGTGGGGGCTTATATAGGCTAGTTGCACAAGATGGCGTCTATCAACTTCCGGCGGCTGGGTGTGAGCCTGAGTACTTCCTGTCTTCGGTGTGGAGTTGTTTGGGGAGTTAGCGAT